AAAATTGGCGGAACAGTTGCCAAAAATGTGAATAATAATCCAATTTTACGACTAATTTTTACGTGTTATCTGTTTAGCGCTTGTAATAAAAGTGTGAACCGTATGCATGCAAGCAATCGTTTCGTTGAATGTTGCAATTTTGCGACTTTAGTTTTTCAAGGGTATTCTTATTTGCACAGTTATGATGAGTGCTCAATTCATTCAATTGATAATTTCCATAACCGTTTTTAAGAGCGGTCGTTTTGCCGCTATTTTCTTCTGATCATCAGCATCCTTGACATCGACTTTTCGAATTCACACATTTAAAAAAAAACTTTCTCCGTCGAAAATTGAGTGAAAAATGGTTATGTTCCTTCTTTCGCGTTCTGTAGAAATACAAAAACCTATGCAACACAAGCATCGTTCGATGTCAAATGGAGTAGTTTGTTAGGTATGCACACTGCGCTGTGTTTGCTGAATAATAGAAGTAAACAGTTTTACTGCGGTTTTAAAGCACTCGTGTTCAGTGACGCTGTGGTAGAAATATAAATAAACTGTGCGTTTATGGACTAGATTGACGTAGCAATGATTGTGTTTCATTAGAGCGTACTGAAAATTTTTTGTTCTCTTTTTGTTGTTGGCAATTTGACGTTGTATTGAAAAGTCGATGCGTTCATTGTTTGTTATTTGAGCGATAGCAAGAGCGCACGTTGATCATGTTGTCGATTGTTAACTACTATATCATGTTTAAACATCTCTTTGCTCCCATAATTTATCGCTAATTAATTTATTTGGCCGAATTCATGTTATTACATTCAACAATGAACGCGGGCTCGTGCGCATGCATATAAAATTGTGTACCGATTTTATGCTCCGACGTTGTTCAAAACAGTGGAAACTAATGAACGGGCCAAATGGAAAACTTTCTTTGGGAAGTTGAGCGAAATTGAAAATGGAGATAACGAAACGAAGAAAAAGAATTCGATGAAGAGACGATGTCGTCTTCGTCGTCAGGAGCAGCAGAAGATGCCGCAGAAGAACCAGCAGAAGAAGCAGCAGCAGCATTAGCATCCTAACAATGTTATTGAAACATGGACTATTCGCTTTGGCAAGTATTGACACTCGATTCGCGAATGGCGTCGTCGCAAATCAAATGCAATGCTTTTGTAGCATAACACACTAACGGAGATTACTTTTGAGCAACACTGTTGTCTTCAGTTGAATTATGCGAATATTCGCATAATTTTTCTTCTCTCAATTTTAATCTTTTTCTCCAAGTTCGTCTCGTCGTGTTGCACTCGTTTGTCTTTTATTCTCTTTGTCGCAGCTTTGGCGTTACTGCTGTTGGTATTTTTTTAAGTATTTGAAAGAATGTGTGCGTGTGACTTTTCCAGCGTAAACTTAAAATTACATTTTCTTCAATATCTCTTTTTTGCATTGGAAAAAGTCGTCTTTTGCTCACGACGTTGCCGTTTTCTCATGCAGGAATTTCATACTGTGTCCCATTCAAGTTTTCTACAAAATACATCCCTAATTTTTGCACTTGTCAACACATATTATAATTCCGAACATGGAGACTGCGTCACGGAATTTTCAGCAAGCAACTGGAATTGAAATTTTATTTACTGAGCGGCAAAAATGTATGGTGCTCAATGCTGTTGGTGATGATGTTTATTTTAGTGTTGTTGTATACGCTTTTTCAACTTGTTCTCGTATCGTCTCGGCGTTCTTCGATAAACTGACACTTTGTTACAGCAGGTTTTAACTCGCTGAAATTCTCGTTTGATACGCAATTCAAATGCTTTGTATATTTCCAGACCATTTCGTTTATTTTCTCTCGCTCTCTCTCTCTCTCTCTCTTTCTCTCTCTCTCTCTCTCTCTCTTTGTTGCAGTGTGCGTGACTTGCTGAAAATGTTATCGAATATATCAATATGAGCCGGGCGATTTTTCACCTGCACACATGCACTTGCAGCCATTATGATTACCAGTTCACGGCCACACTACCTCAACTGTCACCACATCAACTTATTTAATAACATGGAATGTAAACAATTCACAGCCATTTTTTTTCTCCTCTCCAACTTCACATACGATCGTCATTGTAACGCGCGAGAGAGCAAAAAAAACGCAAGCACACACACGCAGTTGATTATTTGCACGGTTCAAAGTGCAGAAAATTATCTATATATATTTCCCACATGGATGCGGTTAAGACCTAACTGTCGGCCAAAAGAAGTGAACAACAGTGAGAAAAAAAACCGAATGGCGCTTAAACCAAATTATACGCACAACACAACAACATTAATATACCTTTAATGCTCTTTAATCCGATTTCGTTGTTTTCCACTCCATAAAATCATTTTCGTGTTTTCATAAATAAAAAGAATGTGCTCACATTCGTAGTAAGATGTGAGCGCATTCGGCGACGGTGACACACCAGCCAACCATACACATATACACCGAACAATGGCACTGTCGAATGAAGCTCAATGCTCCTGTTCATTCGGTTGAAAGAGAAAAAAAACAAGGTTCATCAACAGCAGAGAAAAAAAGAGAAAATGGAATTGAGACATTTGGTGCGAGGCAGCCAGAGCAAAATGTGCAACCAGGATAAAGAGGAATCGAGGTAAATCACTTAAATTGTGGTTTAAGCATTATACCGCATGTGCATTAAAGCGAATGATGGCCGAGAATTCAGCAAACTGGGATATATTTAAAGTACTTACACTTATTTACAACAGATGAAACAAATGCACGGGGAAAAAAGCAACGAAAAATTCATGAACGCGATAAAAAAAAGCACCGTGTGATTAATGATACGAATTTTTTACAATAATCTATCAAGACAACGGCAGAAATGCTGCTCAACAAACACACACCATATTGTGCTTAGTTTTGCGCCACAAACAAATCCATTTCTGTTGTTGTCGTCATTTTCATTTGCTCTGACCATTGCTCTTTTTGATAAGAGCATTGCCATTGTGTGACTGACGTTACTTTAATACAAATGCGATTTATTAAATTGCCTTTATCGTCCGCACAACACATTCTTTCCCTTCGTCTCATCTTAGATTCTCTCCCATTTGCTTCATTTGAGTCGCTCATTGCTGCGTTCAGAAAATTTCATTATTTTTCTGAAATCACAACTTATGGCTTAGAGAAAGAAACAACAACTGGCAGGCGTTCAAGTTGCATAATTTGGAGACAAGACCAATGACCAGACCGATGTTACAGAAAAAAAGCACTCAAATTCGAAAATACAAACGATTCGTCGGTTGGAAGCAGATGCTGGTAATTTATACAAAGAGAAAATTGTACGCGCTTTCTGCCAGTCGGGTCAAGAAGCATGTGCCATTGGTGAATGTACTGCACACCGATTTTATTTTACTTGCAAAAAAAAAATCGTCGAATCGATTCCAAATCCCAAATTGCGTTTTGGGCTATAAATGGATTGTGATTTTCGGTTTCAAATCATTTGATGAGTTTCGATTCCATTCTAATCTCACTTAATCGGAAAGAAATGCACAGATATGAGAGCTACGATGCGTCCACATGACAATATCATATCGGTATATCGGATGCATGACGAGCGTGATTTGATGGGAGTATCGCCAGCTGTTTTGTGCGAATTAACAGGTATATCCATTCGTTCCGATTTTTTCCGCCAAAATTGATATGTTTTGCCGAAAATCTAATCAGTCCGCTGTAATAATTTGCGCAAATCGTTGGCAATTATCAGGAAAAACAAGGTGGTTTTGCTCGTGGCAAGGTTAGCTCAATGCACATATGTATGCACCAAAATGTCTGTGTCGGAAATGGTAGTGTCGGTGCAGAGGTAAAATGTCGATATGAACATTGTTTCACGTTAAACGGTTGGTCACCACATCAAAACAAATTATCGTTTATGGAAATATTAGAATGAAAAGCTGATGATCATAGTTGAAAGGCGGTGGCGGTTTCATTTCCAAAATGGTAGTAGCAGTATCTCTTGACTCCATAAACTATACGGTGCCAGCTACCTATAAAATCAAATTAGTTTCCATTATTATCATTTTGTGCTGACTTGTTTGGTTTTGGTGTGCGCGAACGTGGAATGTCAGGTCGTTCTAATGCAACGCCAAATCCAGCTAAATGAATGATTCTAAAATTTAACGATAATTGCTTTTATTATGTGCTTTCTCTTCTTTCAATTTCCCACTGGTTCCGTCTGTTTCAATGGGATTCATTCGCATCTCGACAATGTTCACTCTTCTCTTGCCATCGCCTCATCGACTAACCCATTCAAATAAATTGATGCGAACGACCAAAAATGGTATTTACGATGATGATTTTCACTCGACAGCGAACAATGATTATGTGAATTCAAGCCCATTTGGATGCTGGCGTTGCATGTAGCAAGGAAATGGTGATGTTTGCTTAGTATTGTACTGTGACGGTGCATCGAATCAAGGTCAAATATTCAAAGCATACAATATGGATTGTTCGGGAATATTTCTATGCATTGTTGTATCATAAAATAATCAATACAGTGGCTTCATTTAAATGAATTCAGTTTTGTTTTATTGTTGTGGGGAAATTGATGTATCACATTGTTATTGTTTCCTACAAACAATGCCCACAATAATCGCATACCTACTATGGGAGCGAGTTCAACATGGATTAATTCCATAGAGGCGAAGTTTTGGCCAACATTTCGGTCGATGCCATGAATATTCTAACCGTTCGTAATGCTTTTGAATAAGCGATTTTATTTGAATTTCAAATGATGAGTATAGCAGCGTAAATACAACAGTCTCTGTGTTACCGTATGCAATATCAGGCAATTAGAGACTTCACAATGTCTGTTGAGAAACCCTGTTTATTATTTGTTGTTTTGCTAGAAACTGAATCAATTTAATGCCAGTATTTCGCACGTCGCACATCTGTTCTTACTTCTTGTAACTCACCTTTTAGCAAAATTCCAAATTACAATCTAAAGGAAAAATGAAGCATTGATTTGAAAAAAAAAATAATAAAGTTTAGCGTTGAGTTTCCATTTTGAAAAAATCAAAATTAATTTTATTTCGGTTTTGTACAATTTAATCAGAAAAGAAAAAAAGAAATCAACGAATATTTCTGTGTGTCATATTTACAATTATATCTATAACAATGTTAAATTAAAATGCTATCCTTAAAGCTTACAACTTATATGGATTATGTTTGCATTCAGGCGAATGTTTTGGTTTGGGTGGAAATTGAAGTGATCGACTTCGTGTTAAACTGGTTTCGCTTGGACTGGGTCGCAGAAACGAATGAGTTGAAATCGTGGAATCACGTTTGACGCTCGATTTATCCGGATCAGGTGTTGCCTCATCTGGTTCGGTTGTACCTTTGAGCTCTTCCGTTGAGCTTGGTTTTTCGTCTTGTACTTCGTCGATTTTCATAACTGGTGGCGGTTCATTTTTCGATTTGTGCTTGAACTGAAATTTAGTTGACAGTCGATTAGGTCGACACGCTTCACTCGCAAAAATCGAAAAAGGAAAAGAAAACATTATACATACACTTAGATTTGATGGCGTAAACGAAAATCGAATATTTTTTATGCGATGTTTTTCCGGTTTCGGTGGGTGCGGAGTCGTCGTCGTGGTTTTCAGTTGAATCTCTTCCGTATTCTCATTCCCTGTTCCCTGAAGTAATAAAGAATTTTTGTCGTCACATTTCAATGGAGGGAAAAAAAAGAAAGTTGAATATCACCGTGCACTTACAATGCTGTTGTTGCGACACTGTGATGCGGGTGTTGATATTGAAAATCGATTTCGTTTTGATGTTTCTGCCTGCAAATTTGCATATTCCTCCTTGGAAATGGAGAATCGGGGGCCGCGGTTCTTGTAAACGGGCATACTGAATATGTTGCTGTTACGCGCCCGACTGTAAAAACTTGATGTGGTTCGAGCACTTGTGAATCTGGACGAGGATATTGTGTTGCGCCGCATTGGTCGCACACCACAGAATAACGATTTAACCGTTTTACGATACTTGTCCGACAGCATGCAATACAAAATGAAATTGGAAGCAGCGTTCACCGTTATCAGCAAATTGAAAATATTATTTAATACTGCGAAAAAAATGAAACATTTTGGAACTAGTCTTGAATCAAATTGACGTTTTTCTTCAGACGGTCAAGTCATACCTAAGTCGCGGTTTGAATGATAATTCAGATGTATAATATGCAACAGTTGAAGGGCGTTCGGTGTTTGACACATGAAAAATAAAATTACGACAGCAATCAAAGTTATGGTCACTTTATTTTCTTGTGATGTGTCCTGTTTCGAAAAGAAAATTATATGGTTTCATTTTAAATTGTAATAAAAACTTCCATTCAAAATTGCATTTTTTTTATTTTCACTGAAAGTGTGCAACAAATTCGAAAAAAACTTATGTTTTCAAAGTGTATAAGTCATCACCTGTCTGGTATTAGTCATGGCATGTCTCATCTTATGTGATTTTCGCACAGTCCAAATGAGGAAACCATTTAAAATGCTCAGTAACACAAACGGCAATAGCGTGCCGAGAAACGTCGATGGGTAATAGAAAAAATTCTTATAGCTCGGCGTTTGACTGAAGTCCGAATCTTTTACACTATACGAATGAACCTTTTTTATGGCGAAAAACGTGAAAATTTTAGAAAACAAACTCAATGGAGCTTTGAAATCACTCGATCATCTCTTACCTCTTGACATAATCCGCTGGCTTTGGTTTGATTGGCTGAGCACGGTTTGCCAGTTGATTCGTCAAACCGAACCATCTGACACTTTCGATCAAATACATCCACAGCACAAAGTGCATCGTCGTGGGCTGATTTGAAAATGCAACGTTCTCCTTTCAGAAAGTCGTAGCCAACTTTGGAACATTTCAATTCGTACTCGAAATTTGTGGTTATTGTACAAAGGAAACATAGAATGACAACGGCTAAAAAAAAGAGATTTTTCGATTAATTTGAAAAACTACAAAAACTGGACGATTATTGAACAGAATGTGACTTATGTCAATTATTACTTTAGAAGATTAAACCATCATGGCCTGAAGTCCATAATAATAATTGGAATCACTGTGAAACAGGATTCCATTTAATGTAGCTTTAAATTGTTTAAATCAGCTTTGATTCCTTCTCCACCCTTGATTTGTGTCAACGAATTTTCAAGTAACTAACATTTGCCTCTGCCGAATACATCAGGCCTGCTTTGAATGATTGTATTCCCATTGAAAATTTGCTTTGCATTTTCGGCTCAATACGAGTGTGGATTGATGCGAGTCAAAGAGCACAAATGAAAGTCCGATTGAAGGGGATCAGTAGTTCTTTGAATGAAATTGTGGATCGATAATCAAATGAAAGTAACAATAACCATATCCATCTCTTGAAATGCGACTGGGCCTTTGGACAAATCAGTAATCAACAATGAAAGAAGGTCAAAGCGTTGAAAATGCGATAACCAGGTGGAAGTTTCCAAACAACACTACAACTAGTTACATAAAAGGCACAAACATTGTTTATTTTGTATTTTGAAGTGAGATTCTGTATGTATTAAAACTGGTAATGATTATGTGGCTGTGCACCTGCTCTTGTCGACATCAAGAAACGAATATGGAATACCCTAGCACTACTGTTCGTCTACATTTTGTTGTTATTTGCCTGTATATTTTCGCCAACAATTCTACAATATGTTAACATGATTGTTTGCAACGTGTGCATTGTTGTTCTTCTGTTGTCTTTGTTAATTTACACAAACGAGCCATTCAAACGCTCAATATCGTTGTTACGGGCTACAAAAGCATGCACGGAAAACCCTTCAAAAGATACATTCAATGCTAAAATGTAATGGTTAAACCAATTCCATCTGAGAAGAAGATGTGTTTGAGTTTGTGTACGCCAAATTCGTCGATTTAAATTCGAAAGATAAAGGGATTAGGTAATTTGAAGATGCCTTTGCATAGTTGGCGAATAAGGCAAATGCTCTAAGAAAACCAAAACTCTCTCCGGGTATACGATTTCAATTAAATTTGACTATATGCCCAAATGCCAGGGCTCATTCTGGAAATAAGCAAATGTCATCATTGATCTCAACGCACATCACAAAACTAACGAATTCCTCGTCTGCAATTAGACTTACACATCATATCAAATGAATCTTTTCACATAACAAACTATTATATATACAGTCACTCACAAAATTGTCTGTACACCTCACGATTTTCATACAAATTGGCGTTTTTCGTGTCTCAAAAAAATATGCTTCGCGAAATCGAACCTCGAAGATTTTTGGTATACTGTAGGTGGAAGGCCTGAAGACCAAAATAGTGAAATTTCAGAATAAAAAATCCAAAGGAATTAAAATGGGAGATGATTATGTATTCACAAAATTGTTTGTACACCCAATTTTACATAGACTCTAATAACTGTATGTTGTTGAGTTTATTCTTTTACAAATTCCATATACAATTAGGAATGTTCGTCGATATAATAATGAAAGTCACAGTTGGTACGGTATTTCTTAAGCTGCATGTTGCAGCCTACAACTAATAAACGTAATGTAACAATATACAAATATCGGCCAAGGATAAAATTGAATTCGTCTATAATATCCTGGTATTGATTTAAATTGGAAATCGTCAACAATGTTCGTGCATTTCCCGTGAGATTTAGCTATAATTGTATTAAAGCCATACCACAACCATTAAACCTCGACACTTCAATATATTTGTTTCCTGAATTGTACTTTAGTAATTTGTCTTGTGGAATAAATGATTTTACGTTAAAAATTCCATACCAAATAAATCGTATTTTACGATGCAAATAACAATTCAGTATAATATTAGCCGTTGTGGTCAAAATGCAACGAATGTTACATTGTAGAGCATTTTGAATGGTTTCTAAATGTAGCTCTGTCCATGTATCGACTGGCCCAACAAAAATATTGAATTTAATTTTTGGGCATTATGATAATGCCATTATCACCATTTTCGGGCGCATTTTTCCCGGGTACAACAAAAGTAGCGGCCGATTTATGAACAACACTAAAACTGGTCGTCTTTATGTTTTTTTATTGATCATAAATTGACTACGTTTAGTACCGGAAATGGGTAAGAAGCGTGCGTATCATTTCGATTGCCTAAAGCCTAGTTCGGTGATGTGAAGCATAAAAACGTGCCGAATTCAAGACTCTCTCTCTCTCTCTCTCTCTCTCTCTCTCTCTCTCTCTCACTTCTGTTTGTTTGCTTTTACGATTTCACTGTTTTTCATGACTTTGGATGGCATCACGTAAACATTCACACAGCAATTAAATGGCTCGTATAAATGTCTATTATGTCGATTATTTCGATGTGTGTACGGACGCTGCTTAAACGGAAAATGTTGATCGTAATATTTGCCTGGTGATTTATGCAGCAAAATGTCAAAAATAACTCAATGTTTTGAGTCTTAAACGTACATCTTTTCTTCTCTACATTATTATGCATTCGCCGAAATTGAGCAGCAATTCATGCAAAGTATAAGATCTATGAATAAAGCTTTCAGAATACGGAGCAAAAAGAAAAAATAGCACAAATCGACGTTGATAGAATGCCAAATGTTTGTCAGTGTTTTAATGGAAGATAAATTACAGTTTTAATTGAACCGAATGAAAATTAATTTCAAACGTTTAAATTTTTATTTAAATATGGTATATTGCACAGACTGTTTGCTTAAATTTGCACAAATAATCGCCGAGACAGTACATTACTGCGAAATGACTGCCTTATTACACGTCACTCTGTGTCAATGTCGCAAATAACTTGTGAATAGACAATGCCTTTTTCGATAGAAACATCAGTATAATTGCCGACTGCAATTTACAGTGAAGTCGTTCCACGAAAGAAGTGCACTTGACAACAATCAACGGTTCAATGACAGACAAATTGCTGTGCAGTTGTTGCCGGGAGAGAAAAAGAATGCACTATCGTACTTTAATAGCGATGAAAAGCGCATTTCGGTTGCAATTTTCTCCCTTATCATTTTGATGTTAATGTATAGAAGAAAATGAAAATAAATTCTCCACTTCATTATAATTTTATTTGCATATTTTGAAAGTGAGTTATCAGTTGGTTTTGGCTACGAATGACCGACGGAGACGACGATCATGCAGCAGTTTCATTTGAACAAAGCTCAAAACTGAAAATGAATGCAAATAAAATTAAATGGGAAAAATATTTAAATTGAAATAGATTTTATTGAAGTGGAGTGGTTTTCATTTGAATCGTTTCTTTTTAGTGTGTTCTGCTTGTTCTTGTGAAATCTTGCTCGCAGTCACATTTTTGCTTTAGTTCATATCTCCTTCCCGCTCTCTCTCTCTCTCTCTCTCTCTCTCTCTCTCTCTCTCTATCTCCTGTTCTCTTTCTCTTTGCCTTCCTCCCTCGCTCATTTCATCTCTTTGTATTCGTATGCATGATAACATTGTTGCGTTTGTATTTCAAGCGATTGCAATGAAACGAAACGGTCGCACACAAATATGCATGAAACCGAATGGCCAAATAAAATGTATATTTCACAACAGTTAAAATGGATGTGGCCGATGGCAATTTGTGTGTGTACTCAAAATTTTACCAACTTATACGTATGTATATCGCATACGTTTTGAAATGAAGATGAAAGTATGAGCGAACGTTTTTTGAGAGATGAAAGAGCATCTGAAATTGTAGTCTTCGTTCGAAGTAAACGAGAAAGTAGTCTCTCCCGCCTTGCTCTATATCTCTCTCATTCTATCGGACAGACGGAAATGCATTGAACGTATGCACCGAATGAACTAAACAATGAACGTTTATTTGCGTTGCTTTTTTGTGTCGACGACGAGCTAAAAGCTCATTGAACACATTCCTTCTACTCACATAGTCTCTCAACTTGAATGGAAAATGAAGACTTTATGATTAATTTGGTTATTTCAAGTTTCATTGTGAATATTTTGGATTGCAACTGCGACTGTGTGAATTCATCGTACATAAAGACCAAATCATTCATATAACTGAAATTCGAGAGCAGCATACTCACGTTGAACGCAGCGTAATTTTGTTAAGAAAATCTAACAGTCTAAAACAACAACACCAATTTGTGTGTAGTATTCTATTCCTGCAAGTTTTGAATACTTAATGATGCAATCGGTATATAATATGTATTGTCCACAATCATACGGTTAATGCAAAAGCATTTATTGCCCTCCCTAACTCGAGCGCCACCTGTTCGGTGTAAACATGAAAACAAACAAAGTAACTCGAACTGCCAACCGATAGAATAATCGATGGGAATGAGGACAGCGTATCAAAAATGTGCCGAACTTTCCTTTGTGGAAAGTCGAATTCTCAAATCGTTCGGAATTGATGATGATTTGCTCGTTGGCAGTCCGTTGATTTTGCCACACAAGCAAATCTATCATTGTTTCTGCTTACCGGTTATCACCTTCTTTGCACGGGATTCAGTGCACAGAACTTGGCCGCGTAATGGATGACACACCGATATGTAACGCTCCAATGTGAAGCTCACAGTCAAATAGATCGATATGTACACTAGAAGAAAACAGAAGAATAAAAATCTCATAAAATTCGATATGTTCAACACTGAATAATACATACGTGATGCATCATGAAACCAATTCGATAGACCGAATGCGCTCCAGTACAAAACATGGCCGAACTTATAGCCAGGATATTGTTGCAACGATAAAATGAATGCACAAAATAAGTTGATTATGTCGGCGATTGCGAGTGCTGTTAAATAAATATTTGTTGAGCATCGCATCCGTCGCCTGTGTGAAGGAAAAAAGAGAAACAAAACAGATGAAGCCATTTTTTTAATTCAAGAAATTAGTTCTCTTAATCAGACATTCACTGTGGCTGCATATATAGCTGAGCTATTTACAAATAGCTGGCTGTTTGGTAAGTTTTGATTTTGTGACTATCTTGCCATGCAAATTCATGTGGTATCCAAGAATGTGGGACACCTTTTCAATCATTTACATAAATTTTTTGTCCCAAATTCGTGGATACCACATGAATTTGCATGGCAAGATAGTCACAAAATCAAAACTTACCAAACAGCCAGCTATTTGTAAATAGCTCAGCTATATATGCAGCCACAGTGAATGTCTGCTCTTAATTGGCCGAATTTTTTTTTTTTTTCAAAAAGAGAAGAAGACAACTCAATAAATAACCAAATGAGATCGTAATAAAAACCACAAAGTCTGTTTAAGAACCTCTTTCATCGCCATAAATTATATATATGGTTTTTTTAAACTTTTTTTTTATTCAGAAGTTGAACGTGATTACAACTCTTTTGAAATGTTCAGGTGCATCCCTCCAATGTGTTTTTTCTTCCACTAAATTGAAAAAGATGAAGATGTTACCATCTAAAAATTCGACGCTGTCAATGCATTTTGTGCATAAAACTTAAATAACACAACATTTATAATGAAGATGCGTCGACAGCAAAAAAAGCCGCTCTTAAATTTTTAATTAAAAAACTTTTCGCCGAATATTTCATTTGTGTTTCTTGGCTAAAATGTTTTGCGGTTACATTTGAACAAAAAAGAAACCGTTTGCTTTCTACAGAAATACGCTACAGCGCATGCATTTGTTGTCGTTGCTGTTGCTCTTTTTCATTATTTGTTTCGAAAGTACGGAGTGAACATCGCGTACGCGTATACACATTGTTAAATCAGTTGATGTGTTTGAAGCCAAACAAACTTTCGACCAAAAAAAAACTCTTTTGTCTGCATAGCTACGTGTGTGCATGCATCATTTTGAACATCTCAACGTCAACATTTATTATTTTCTCTTGTCAAAGTTATGTGAACATTTTTAGCTTCAATTTTTCGGTGATGCTATTTTCGTTTTCAATTTGGCGAAAGAGAGAAAACTTTGACTTTGCCTGGCGCATGTGTATCATACATCTTGGTGAAGAAGGATCCGTTTTTCTAAATCGTTTGCTTTTTTTCGGAAGTAAATGGAACTAAATGAACTTTTCCACATTTATAATCGCCAGAATGTTTGCCAGAAGAATTATGTGTAATCACATTGTAGTTTTCGGTTAGAACATTGCTTATTGACTTGGGTTTCGTCTGTGCTCTCTCTTTTCGACCGCTGTTCTCTTTCATGTTTCTTGTTTTTCATTTGTGGCAACAACAAAAATCAAATGAACAACAACGAAGAATTCAGCGTTACCTGGTTAAAACGATGACTGTTAGTAGATTGCCGGCTATGCCGATCGTTACTACGCACGGTACAATTATACGTTGAATGATATATCGTGTTTGTTGTAACGTTTCGAAGCTCCAATCCTTGTCGCCATTAGTAGCATTCCGGTTCATCTCACTGAGCATTCGGGTGTAATTTGTTGAAATGGTTGTGTTCAAGCCATTCTGAGCCATTATCTATTTACGAACCGCTTGCTGAAACCGAAGAAGAAAAAAATCATCAACAACCAAATTTGTAAATTCGAAATGTATATTTCAACAATGAATTAATAAATGATCTCGCTTCAGTATGACAAAATCAAAATTATAGCAAAATTAATTGGGAATATTGCAGCAATAATTTCCGAAAGCCGAATCAGAAGCAGAAGCAAGACTCGATGGGATTTCATTCGGTTTAAATTTAGATAATCGTCAGGTTTAACGTTGAGAATTTATTGAATCGAAAACAACATAAATCTTGCACGTAAACATGACAGCGAAACGGAATACAATAACATTTCAGCCGATGGGTTGGTGTGTCCTGGGGAAAAATGTTACAAATAAAAGCTGTCAGTAGGTGCCAATTTAGCATATCGTTGTGATATCGTCAGCGCGTATTTTGTTTTCTTTCACGTTAACATGTTCAAAAAACGTTAAACTGATGGGTTCACATTCATCGAAAGGCATTGTGTTTTGATTCAAATAATTTGAGTGATGCTACAATATCAACGACATAGGTCCATTTTCCTCTCCGTTTGTTTCAATGTGAATGACAATAAACAGATGAAATTGAGCCGCACTTGGCTCGTGTGCCAAGTCAATTCGATTCTAATGCCAAACACTGCGTAGATGTGAATCCCATTAAAATGTTGACACTCAATAAAAAAGACCCGTGCAAAAACATGTTCAAAATCAAAAAAGGCTTGTAGTTGCAATGCCATTAATTAAATACATGAAAACAAAAATATCGTCATTAAGTCAAGCCACTACACGAATATTTTTCTCCTGAAAAACTGTGTTTCTGATTCAAAACAAATGTGTTCAATCAGGTCGAAATTCGTGTCCAGGCAATTTTCTCGGCGTCACAAATCTATAGCCTCCACGCGAAACATTCGTAAATGCCTCAGGTCGATGTTTGTGTCAATTTTATTCGTTTCGTCCACGTAGATGATCATTAGTGTTATGGAATAAGGTCAAATTTGAATGAAAATATCTTTCGTTCGCTATTTTTCCTTTCAACTCACACATATGTTCTATAAATAGACACAAATTTTTGTGTGGAATTCACACTGTGGATTCTTGTGTGTATGAAAAATGCCTGATATTGAATGTTCAGTGCACCTGTTTAATTTCAAATGGTTATTATCGTTAAAATGTCGCAATCGATGATTGCAAATTGCGTGAACGAATTCGATTCAAAACGATTATTTTTCCTTCGCTCGAATGTGACACACCAGGTCAATTCATACCAACAATTATTATAACATACGACATTGATAACTATTTTTCGGGCAAAATTTTCCATTGTCCATGTAAAACTTGAAATTTGAAACTTAGAGTTTTGTTGACGCAATGTTTTGCTTCCATGGAAAATTCAATAATAACAGAAGATTAGTGTCGAAAAAAATGGAAAACACATGGTTTCATATCAGTAAATATTCTGAATGCGTGGTTTTGTTTTCAGCCATGGCGCGACAACTTTTGGATTTGTTGTTATTATTTTTGTTTTGTGTTCACTTTTAAAAGGCCAAGCCTTAGTTCTTCTGTGTTGTTTTTCAGAAGGGAGGAGAAAAGTCGCGTCCAAACAAAACAAAAAGTGGTGTGCACAGTCGATGAAACAAGGGCGAGAGAGAAGAGGCAAAGAAAGAAAGAATCGAAAAGAAAAGCCATCATGTTCGCATTGTTCGTAATGTTCGGTTTCTCATTCTTATTATTGTTAGGTCAAAGAAAGCCGAAAAGTTTGTTGTCGCATCGAAAACTTTGACTAGTCTTTTTTTTCTCTGCTTTGGTCCTTGTCCCTCTGCCCGAGAATGTGTGTGTTGAGCTCGACATTTCGTAATATGTTGAGTCGGTCGGTGACGATGATGATGGCATTATTGAATGAAAGTCTTTGGCAAAGAAATTCTCATCATATGCACAATTAGATACACAATTTGTTCAATATACGTACATATAACTTTTGATAGGGACTGTGTGCAGTGTGCACACATGTGGTGTGTGGCGTTAAATTATCATTGTTGAAAAGTTTTTGGCTTCCTTGTAATTGCTTTACGGCCATTTCCAGACGAAACGAGTGACCAGTTGGTTGGCTTTTTGATTACTTCAACATGTGATATAATTTTTGAGCTCCAAACTCATTCCCGCACTCCAACACAGATTATGACATACACTTTTATTATCGATTCATTTGGAATGTTGCAGTAAATTTGTATTTCTTACGCTCGATGCAATGTTACCGAATTTGCACATAAATGTGACGATGAATTTGTTTGCGATGCTGCATCGCCGATGCAATAAATGCTTGCGCGAAACGTGCTTATTTCGAAATAGCAAATCAAATAATGAGGCTCATGTGTGGAATACAGCCGTTATGCTTATAGGTTTTTATGAAATATTGCGGAACCAAAATGGCTCGCACCATGAATGCCTCATTCCAACATCGTGGCACATTAAAATGATTTTTTTAAAACTAATTGTAAATAAAATGTTTATGTGCTAAGGGAAAAGCACATCATCTTGCGAATGGTTGTAGAATGTTTGCAAAATACAAAGTGATTCCGGCATGCGGAAATATTCTGACAGTGCCACCGCTGCCGTCCCCGCCACCATTGCCTATGGAACATGCCATTCCCCTGGATCATTGCACATTCATTAATGGTTAGCAATTGCGGTGAGCTGTGTCATTAGATCGGAGAAAATTTTACTGGAGCGTGGCATATTTACGATCCTTCAAGCAAATTGAACAATAAATTTACGAGTGTATTTTATGAGAGTTCGCGCGTTTGTCGGTATGCTCGATGTGTGCGCAAATCTCGCATTGTAACTCTCTGGTGTTTGCATCAGCTTTAATCATTTTGCCAAACGAACATGGGACATGGGGCATGGGCAACAGCAACTCAAACATCATTACAGCAACCGCAATGTAATAAAATTCGATTTACATGCACAGAAAATGCGGAAAGCGCGTCATTCCAACCGACTACATCTACTATGCTCTTTGACACATTATGCAATCTATTTTAACTAAAGTAATGGTTCAGTGTGTTCCCAGCTATGCGTGCTATTTCCTATTCTGGCAAAAGTGTCAGCAGAGGGACAGACAAAGAAGCAGGGAGAAAAAAAGGGAGCGGATGTAGATGACTTTGACATACTCTGCGTTCATGGAATTTTATATCAAAAAGGATAAATCGAAGTTAACTATTGTGATGGAAAATGCGACGAGATCGTAAGCAAAAAACAGGTTGCAAACTTATTCGACGAAAGCAAGTTATCCCCACTTTGCCCTTCTTTTCAATTTCAGTCTCGTCGATAATGTAACTTTTTTAGAAAGGAAAATAGTGTGTTTGGTGTACGGCGACCTTGTGAGCCCGGTTTCACTTGCGTCAACAAATATCGGAAAAGTTTGTCAATCACCAAAAGACAATCTCGAACAGTTGATGCATAACACATGTTTCAATAGAATGTTTTCATTCAAAAAGCCGCATGCTTCGTTCACAAAATTCGATTCAGCCGAAAGTAGGAACATCAAAATTTATTCAACCAACGTAGATCCGTAAATTCGATCAATTGAAAATAATTATGGCCACACGATTTGATTTGAGAAGTTTTTTCCGATCGAACATTCTTTTTGCTGGCATTTTCAATACACAATCCGTGATTGATTGATTATCTCTGGATGTATAAACGAATCGATGGGATTTGTTCCAAGCGCTGAAATATGAATTGGCATTGCAATTTTGTTTTCCGCGTTCTGTAATGCACATGAATTTTCATACCACAGAGAGAAAGAGATATTGAGGCATGATAAATATAAACATAATTTTGGGAAATTTTCGGGCGGAAAAATTGATCGTGCCATTTGATGTTCGGTTTACAAAATGTAAATATCTGCGAAATCATCATCATAATCTGTCATATGTGTGCATTTTGTTCATGACATTTGATTGTAGTTGCCGTTGGTGGCGATGGTCGTGGTGCTTGGATAAAGATCCATTTGCACGCGAATAAATGGAATTTCGGCATTGACGATGCATTATGGTTTGCTAGGTAATAAATAAAGAGTCGCCATTTGATTTTCAATGTACGATGTTTTGCATTTTCAATGGGACTTCTGGACATTTTCATTGCCGCAGGCGATTATATGCGTGTGAGTGTCTGGTGAGAACGGCACGAATGCAAATAGCTAATTTTTTAGCATCTCTATAAGCTCACCATGGCAGATGTAGTGGTCAATGTGCGCATGCAACAGACACCCATAGACGTCGATATCTGCAAATGGCATTGTGCATCATATTATGAAATTCCATTGACTGCATATCGATTCGATATTTCGGCACGACATAATTTACCTATTGGTTGATTTTCCAACGTATCTCATACACAATCTGTCACACAATGTGTCACTACACAATTCATTCGCCAAAAATGTGACACATGTGAAAATGTTTTCACGAAAATTGCAACATTTTCGGAATAATTTTATTCAAATTATGTTGTTGAATGGAGGACAATTACGCAAAAATGCACATGATTAAAATGGGTATTTTCAATTGAACCATTTACGGCGGAATTTTGTCATGTTACCGGGAATCGATTCGTTGTTACAAGTACGAAAATTATCGACCCACAACGAAAATATTTGCTTCGTGAAAAATATGTTTCCAATGGAAATTTTCCATCGCATTTATCAAATGCGCCATTTTTGATGGTTCGAAAATTCAGGTGAAAACGTCACCGTTCTAAATTCACAATTTAAAAACCGAAAATGTTTGCTTAAATTCATAAGCAAACAATGGAGCGAAAAATCAGTTTTTTTCATCGTTGGGTACGGAATTATACACACACACACACACACCAACAGGTAGCGTTGACGAAATGTTTGACACAAGCATCCGCTACAATCATCTGGCTCAATTATAATGGACATTTGGAATAAATATTGCACAGTGAGATAAAGAGCGGCTCATTGAAAGCGTATCAGTGGGCAGACAGAGCACGGCACAGCACATACAAAAATAAAAATGATAAAATAAATCCGAATAACAAATATTCCGGTCGAATATATCGTCGGGCGGATTTCGCGACTTTTACAACAGGTGAACGGAATAGAGTGCGAATTTTCGAGCCGACAACGTGTGGGTAAACACATTCACAGTCTGATATTTCGTGCAATTGATAAAATCATAAATGAAGACCAATTAATTTCGTTATTTTTTGACCGTCATTTTCGATTTCTCTTTCTCTCTCGCTCTCGCTCCTCTTTTTTCTCCGTCAGCTGTTTACCCGGTGTCAAAATCAGAGAGTGTACAATTCATTTCGGTTAATAACAATTCTCGGAAAAGGTTTGCCTGTGTGAATCGGAGCCATGGTTGAAAAAACCATGGGCATATTTTTTGGGTGCGCATAAATTAATAAATTTGAATGAAATCAAAGAGCATGGGACACCGTTCCTTCCGTTGTTCTCATCAACCTGAACGCCATTCACAAGGAAACGTTGGTTCTTTTTCCCGTTTGTTCATTCACTTGTGGCGAAAATGAAAGGAAATGCCAACGAGAGCGATAGAGTGTCGAAACAAGAAAAAATCCAATCAGCAAAGTGGCACCATTCATCAAGCATCACGCGTACAAATGATAAATGATAAATGACAAAAATGAATTCGGTCGCATGTAGCGCGTTCATTCAAGTGGCAAATTCGCAGTGCGTAAATGAAGCGTTCATTATTTTGGCGCCGAATCGATGCTTAAATAAATACAACATGTCGACGCAATATTTACACGGTGTCGGTACTTTCAACGTGAATATAGGAACTAGTGCAACATCAATACCTCTATCCAATTTATGGTACACTCACATAAATTTCATTCGTTTTTATTTCTCCTTTCGTTTCGTTTGAATGACATAAAAATTAATTTGTGCTTCTCTTGAAACTGAATTTCAGTTTTGCACCGAAGAGGGAAAAAAAACCTCCGTTTTGATCTCTCCTCTTGCAATCACCATCTGTCACCATATAAAATATTTATACGTTCGATCGAATCAACCGTCGCACAAATAAATGAATATTCAAACCGAAAAAGCGAAAAATTACATCATTTGTTTGTGTCTTTTCGCTGTAGAACCATTCCACAGCCGAAATTTTTGGCGTGTGTGCGATTTTAAATGTTTGTTCAAACTAAAGTAATAATAATATTGAGACTTTTTTTCGCGCAAAACGCGCTGTCAATTATTCATCCTATAGGATGAAACCTGTATACAGGTTTCGTTTCTCTCCGAACAAATTCAACACGCAGCGGCAAATTCAAATGTTCTGCGTTCATTTTTAAACGCGTTCAGTTCACCGTATGGCACACACTTGCTCACTCAAAACAATAACATTGAAACTTACACGCAACAGTGTCTGGTGACGTCGAACAATGTACGTAAATATTTGATTGTTTGTATGTTTTGTTGTTGGCTTTTTTCGCGGTTTTTAAATAGAAATTTGAACAAGTTGTGCGGTTCTAAGTTCTGCATACATTGTTCATCGCCATCATTCCAATGTGAACATCTTCTGGGAACCAAATTTTTCTTTATTGATCCATTATGAAGACATTTCACGGTGATAATATTTAAACATTCGTATTAACGACTTTATTTACACTAAATAATTAAATGGTGTATCAAATACACCAGATTTTGTTGTTGTTTCTGCACCAAATTTTCTCGGTCTTAATAAACAATTAAAACCCAAAACCGTTTGATTGAATGAGTTTCAATTTGAGACACAATAGACAACACACGCTGAAAGAATGAAATCCGAAGGATAAAACAAAATCCACTTGTAAAAATTATTTCATTCGTACTTTAGAAGCGGCGCGCGCGCTACGATACACGCTCTTATTGCGTCTACTATTCAACAAATACTAAATATACACCAAACATATCGAAAATTCCGTTGAGCAGACGAGAGAAAATCGAAAGGAAACAGCCAAGCGGATCAAGCACGGAAAAAAGCGAGGAAGATATACACACGACACAAGAGTCCGACGGAGAGAAGAGAGAGAGAGAGAGAGAGTGAAAAAGTGTGAGTGAGAGCGAAAAAAAACCTAACGACCAATGAAAATTATTAATAAACCTTCTACTTCAAATTCGAAATGGCAAGAAATAACAATATAAAATATGTACATCGAGAACCCACCAAATGCGAAATTTATTGAGAGCCAAAAGTCTATGCGCGCATAATTTCACAGAACACGATGGTGAGAGACGACGGAACGAACGAGAAAAAAAGAAGGAAGTATCATAAGGAGCGAAAGAAAGAGAAACAATGAATCAGCTTCGCTGCTTGGTGGCTAATTTAATTGTTGACGTTGCGATTGTTGTTGCTGATAATGTTATATTTTAATTGTTGTTGTTCGTGATACAAACACATACAGCGGCTTTGCTCCGTTACCCTGACAGCTGATCCTAATTCCACATTTTTCCATGGACTGCCACACATTTCCAATGGAAGGACTGGTCGAAATGAAGCAAACAAACATTGAAAATAGCTTCATTTTTGGTATATCCAAGTGCATTTTCTAAAAGCCGATTATCGCAATTATGATTTTGCGATCAATTTCAAATAGCTAAACACATCGAGCATATCGAGATCGGCGTTGCTTACAATAGTTCAATAGATCCATGAAATAGTTTCGATGTGGATATTTTTAACAAATCACTCTGAATTGTTTCATTTGGTTATTTTTAGACACAACGTCACCGATGCTTTCCCGCCTATAAATTCGACCGTTAAACGAAACATCGACGACAGTATGTGGTTGCAAGCATGAATGCACGCATCCAAATCACTAGAAACTAGAGAGAAAATGCTAGCAGAGGCTGTACGCTGAAAAAGTCACCGGATGCATTACGAATATCGTCTTTCGCTTTCTGTTGAAGGCGCGCGCTCATGTGCGTCGATAAAATAAACTCTGACCGCAAGTTTCAATGACGACAACAGTTTGTTCGGTCGAACGAAAGCCAGCAAGGAGATTAACAAGAGAAGATGTTTTTCTATTATTAAAACATTTTTGGTGTCACTTCGGAGCTTCTTTATCGCATACGACTGTGTCATATCGTTTCTTTTGCTCTTAAAAAGCGAAGAAAAAAAATCGAAATGGATGTGCGTTCGAACACATTTATTTGCTTCGCTTGACACTTTCTTTCTCAATTAATTTTTATTAAGCTTGTTAGTGGATGTTCACGTGCTGAGCGCGGCTTCATCTCTTGTTGATTCTCGTTGAACGCTAGTTTGCGTGTGTGTGTGTGTGTACGACAGAGGGAGAGAGAGTGGATTTTAATCTACTTGTTTATAAATTCATTCCGAAGGAAAGTTGTGAAATTGAAATCATTTGCCTTTAAACACTCGACAAACACTTTTTTTCACTTCAATTTATAAAAGATTACATTTAATTTATGATGACCGACTTTTTGTGATTGGCCATTTTAAATAATGAAATTCAAACGAGCAAATTAACTCTAACTGGAGTTACTCGAACACTTTTTGTGTCATATCATCTCATTTTTTTTAATGAACAACATTGATATCATCATTTTGTTTATTGAAACACCAGAACGAATTCGAGGCGCAGAAGAAAGCATTATACACTTTAATTAATATCTCTGAGATGTCAAAACACTGACCGAAATTAATGATCTGTTTCTCATTCACACAATTTTGAGTATATACACGTTCCGAACCACAAGGCACCGCATAAAATTGTTTACTTAATTGCATGCAAACAAACTTCTTATCTTATGTTTTTATTACAAACGAAATTATCTAAATAGTCGCTGTCGGGCGGAAGACAAGAAAAATAATGGAAAATACTTTTTTTTTTCTCCGCCTCACTGTTGCTGTTCGCGAGTGCATGCGAAGACGTTTAAAGTGTATTTGTTTATGCGTTGGCAATGAGCCAAGACAAATTTGATTATTATAATGCAAGTACCGGTGGTCCATACAGACATAGCACTATCATTTGTACTCGAGCACTAAATATGCAAATATCGAACGAGAACAATAAATATATTTGAAATGAAAGTCTTTCGCTCGAAAAATTTTCCAACAGTTTTGAATATATTCTCTTGCTTAATTGAACAGTTGCTATTCATTTCAAGAGGGTGGCCTCTGGGCTGTATGAGTCGAATATAGTCAAATGTATATATTTTGGATTCTAAGAATAAAAAGAGATAATCGTGGAAGTGCCCTTTTGAAACAATAATCCGTTTCAATTTCGCTTGAGCTGTTACCAAACGAACACTTCATCTGAAGTGAATTGTTGATGTGCAAATGTTGCGATTTGCGATGATTATTCCGGAAAAAATAAAAAAAATATAAAGAAATCGTTGGTGCTGCTTAGCTTTTTCCATCTATTTCATATTAATTGGAACGTCACTACGTCAAATTGGACTGGAAGATTCCGTCGAGTGGTTGCAAAAAGATACAAAACAATATCATGTTTCAACTGATCAAGGCCAAATAAAGATTTAGATCAAAAATCAACTGAAGTGTTTTTTCAACAGTGATTGTTTCAACCTTTGGTGGATAGCCAAATGCTTACTATCTATCCAATTGGATATACGGACGTCATATTATCGTGCCGGTGCAACTGAGTATTACATTCAAAGTTTTTGAGTTCTGTCATTAAATTCGAATGTGGACATAGCACATCACACATATAAAAATGAAATAAAACTTGTTCCTTAGATTTAAAAGTCTGAAGACAAAGAAAACTCCTAGTTAATGTTGAATTTGAGTAGATCCCTCCGTAACTAGCTAGCTAACGTAAATCTGCTGAAGGATAACGTATTTCGGTTGAAGAATGAAACATTGTGTCAATTTCAAATTTCTCTCTTTGTGTCCAAATTTCAATCATTGTGTGGCCGCATGCATAGAAACTCACTTTGCCGAACGGGAAATCCCAAAGTGAAGCTATTTTTATTTCCATCTAATTGACTTGTTCGAAAACCATTGGATTATATTGGATGCACATTGCAAATGCACATCTAACGTATATATAGCGACGATTCGTTCGTCTAGGGCTGAAAAAAAAACCTGAAACAGCAGAAAAACTTTGTTTATTTTCCATCGGTACACAAGTTGAAATAACGAAGCTTCCAAATTTCAGATCACAATTGAAAACAATCGAATTTGTGTTCTAGTTATAGTTTGACTTGCTTTTGTGTGTGTGTGTGTTCATGTCATGTTAACCGAAAGCTGAAACGAATGTGTGTTCGAAACAGTCCGAGGAAAACATCCAATTTCGGTCTTCCTTATTATCTGCTCTTTTTTGTGTCGGTGTTTTTTTCTCTCTCTCTCTCAGATCTCCGAATGTCCAAATACTCTGAATCTAATTCAATAAATGTATTAAATCTTTTATAAATGCACGATGCATTGTTATATCTTTCGCTCCAATTTCGATGTGTATACAGTAAAATGGCACATGAGAAAATGTGGGTAAAAAATGAAATTACTAAAGTTTATGATTGTTCCTGGTTTTGCTGAAGCTGTTCCAGTATTCAAATTACATTATTATTGCCAAAAGCTGAATTGACTGTTTGGCAAAAAATGAGTGCATTTCTTCCACTGAAAAGTACATATGCATGCTAGAAATGTAACTTGGGGTATGCAACCAAAACTGTAATATAAAGCAGAAAGAAGAAAAAGCTTTAATTTCATTGAAATATGAACAGTGTTACTTTTTTTTTGCTTGATGTCTGAATGTCCTGATTGCAGCAATAATCGAACACTAATCATCTTTTTTCTCACATTTTCAATCTGATTTTCAGTCTAATTTCATTGTTTGCCATCGTTGCTTTGCATTCAGATTCGTTTCGATTCGGCGCACTTTCCAAAGAACTGACCTTCTAATTGGAGTTTTAAGTTGCTGCATTGGGCAATGCGTCTGCATTACCAATATTCATGTTAGCCACGTCGCTTTTTATCGCTGGCTCTCTATTTTTTATTCCTAAATATTTGCTGCGACTGTAGAATAACAAATGCTATCGCAAAAGCCATAAAGTATGCAGGCAGGCAGGCAGGCATTTGTGCTACTTCTGTAGATTGGCATCCATTGGAATGGATATCAGCGCCTATCTAACAATCAAATTGATCGAAAATGCTAAGAATTCGAAAGGTTGCCATTCAATTTTTAATTAGGTTATCTAAAATTGGAATCACGTAGCGTTCTGATGATGTTAATATTAATTCATTTGTTGTACACGTACAGCTATCGTCTCCTGTGTTCCTTCGGTTCTATGTATTATTTGTTTTTGTTACCGTGCGGGTGAGCAAACAGACTGTTGTGTGTGGGGTATGGTACGGGAGGGTGAATCGAGAAGCATTGGAATGCGCGTCAATAACACAGACTGCTGCACTATGTTCGCATTTTCTTTTGTCGCTTGTTTGCATTTCACCGTTACCGTTTCTCAGTTGCTGTCGTCGTCGTCATCTAATCGAAATTCTTGATTCGATGGTATTAGTTCTCTTGCAGAACAAATAGAAAACAAATCGGAATTCATATCTAGCGCAAAAATCCCATGAATTTTAAATCAAATCTTGACATTAAATTTGGCTCAAATATTCCAAAGCAAAAATACTTTACAAGAGATTTGCTTTTCAACAAAATACTCGACTGCGATTCTACATAATAAATTAAGCATTTTGAATTTATTTGAAGCGCTCTTTTATTCGATATTGACGCATTTTGTTTTCTTTCATTCGATCTGCTTGTGATGCAACACTTCATTCGAGGGAGTGTTGTCGAAAATTGCGTCACGATACTGATGACAATTTCCATCCAATGATGCTTCTATTTTGCCGCTTCTTCTCTTTTTTTTTGCTTAATAATCCAATCACCACGGAATCAGCATCTCGTTCGCAAA